AAAATAGGGTAACTCGCATAGGATGGAACTGTAGCTCCATGGTTTCGCATTAACACCACGACAAACGAAATAACCGACAGCGAAACCAAGTGAGCTACAAAACTGTAGCTAAGTTCAACCATGGTTTCGTTCAACACAATGGCAACAGCAGACTGCAACTCTGCCGTCGATCCACACAATCACAACTTTCGGAGAAGACTTCTGCCAGTCACTAAATTCCATGCAAACACGATTTCGTCTGTCCCAAGAGTTCCACAACATCCATTTAGTTCAGTCTTTGGAAGGAATTCAGTTGATTTAACAGGAGAATCGACCTGCCCACACTGACGAAAATAATTCGACTGACCGAAACAGAGACGAACAGACTTATTCATGAACAAAGTTATTCCAACACCCTACTATAGATGACGCTCTCAGTATAGACCGCCAGGGTAGAGTTTTGGGGGGCTAATTTGCATAATTTTTGGCAGATCGACTTCTTGTGAACAAATTACCATCTACACTCATCAAGGCATCCACACACCAATAATCGAGTCAAATGGTTCGGTGGTTTTTGAGAAGAAGTCGTGCACAGACAGACAGATAGCCGGACGACAGACGCAGGACAGAAACCTATCCCATAGACTCAGTGGACCTATGGTCCATTGAGCCAAAAACTCACGATAAGTTTTTAATGATTTTTCAACTTTACTTAAATAGTAAGTAAATACACATACCTGCCTAGCTGTGGCTACATCAGGCATGACACCGGGTGAATTGAGTAATAACCTCACTAGACCTTCATGTCCAGACTGGGCTGCTAGGTGTAGTGGTGTAAAGCCATACTTTGAAAATACAAAACAATCATTCAGTTAACATAAAACATTGAATTTTTTATCACAACTTACATCAGTATGATGTACAACCCTGTCACATCAAATATGACCTCACTGATGACATCACTGGTGACATCACATGCATTGAGCCAATATTATACATGCATTGTAATTGTAAATATTGTCAATGTTGCCAAAAATTGTAATCATAATTTCTGGTAATAATTCAATAGACCCAAAAATTTTCAGATAATACCGACTTAAACAAAAAATCACTTTGAATACAAAATACATGTACCTACATTAGACCAAAATAAATGGGTTTTTGCTTCTCGTCATAATGCGCATCTGAAACCTAGATCTCACACATTTTATTTCAATTTTGCTAATAAAATGCGCCACATATGATAGAATGGAGATATTTTTGAGAATCTAATAAACCTAAAACATCTTTTTGAAATCATTATTATTATATAAATTTTAAAGCATAAATCTTGCTGTTATGGTATTAAATATGTGTTATACCAAATAAAACAAAAACAAAAATATATAGCTACAAAATTTTCCAGTTTTTTTTTTGACCAAGAAAAAAAATTGTTCCTGGATTTCCTGTGAAATATCTTCACTATTGTGAACATGATTTAAATGATCAAAAGGACACACAAAAAACACTGGAATGAAATACTCACCTCGTGTGCTGTACCAAGATCTTTGCCACCACTGGGTTCAATTGGTACACTTGGTGGCTCACTCTTTACAGTAGCTGGTACTTTGGGTAACATTTCTCTGACAAATTCAATTTGTCCGTAATGTGCTGATACATGTAATGCTGTCATCCCTGTTTTAACACTTGGTGCTTTCCACGATACTGTTCCTTTCAGTGCCTCTAGTACCCCAACATGGCCTTTCTTGGCTGCCAAGTGAATTGCTGTCATACCATCCTGTGAAAGACAATATGTTATGAGGTTTACACAAGAGTACCGCAAAGTATGCATGAAGACAGTATGGGATACGTAGCAGAGGTTGATGAGTTCCTGCACTGCTTGAGTGCATACTTTGCGGTATTCTCAAGATAACCATATTATTATACATTTTTCCTGGCAATGAAAAATGGTTTGTTCTGTGTGAACCTTTGTATTCATTGACATGATTCTATTTCCATCATCTGCTGATAGAGGGCAGCGGCCGGGTGATTATAATCTTGAACACAACAATGTTGGTGACATATCAAATAACAAACAATTTGAACGTTCAAAGAAGAGACATTTTGGAATGAATTCTGATACGTTTTATTATGGAATGGTAAATGTTTATTTTTAGGTGATATCAAAGTTTCTCAAGGTGCCACTTTCCAATTATTTTAGTTCAGTTATTTAAAATGACATGTTTTTTGATATGTAATTAGTCTGACAACTATTGACAACATGTTTCCATGGTGATAATATTAGTTGAAGGATGACATACTTACAGCATTTTCCTCAGTGGGTGAGGCACCTGCATCTATCAAAACTCTGACAACCTCTTTATGACCACCTTCCGCTGACAAGTGAAGTGCTGTGGAATCGTTAGTCTGAAAATAAAAACATAATTTATGTCAGTTATCTCAATGAATGGCTCCCAGGTTTGTGAAAATATTATGTGGTGAACACATTATGACACACATGATAATTTAATTTAATAATTTAATGTTGTTTACAATAGCCTATTTTGTTTTCCTATTAATAGCTTGATGCCTACAAGTCATATACCTTATTCTTTGCGGTAGTAACACCAATGCGATTGAAACGGAGTAATTCTTTAATCACAGCAACACTTCCCTTAGAAGCGGCAATATGTGCACATGTCGAACCATCCTAAAAAGGAATATAAAAAAACATTCACCATATTAACCTGTGTAAACCTTGAAATGATGTATGAAGTTTGTATATATAGATAATTATACCAAACAGTGCCACAGTATTGACATCAAAGACATTATATCACTATAGTTGTGTTAAAACTCCTCTACATAAAATTTGTGCATTTCTCCTCTGTACAATTCATTTTACATTGTAACATGATTTCCTGTCATATTTACATCAAGTTATGTTTTTGATAGTCTACTATAAACAAGCCATGCATGGCATAGTCCCTGTTTGTTATCAAATTTAAGATATATAGTTTTGTTTATAGTAATATAGCTTGAATATAACCATGTCAGGAATATGATTTTTTAACATTAAAATGATTGACATTTGTATCTGATCATCAAACAAGTACTTGTCCATATTGAGAGATATTGCTCTGGAACAGCATTCAAAATCAGCCATTTTGAATACATGTATATATATATATAACATGATGTATAAGGAATATATAAAGTTTGAATATAATCAGTCAAAGCATTTAAGAGATATGGCTCTAGAAGCCCAATCATTAAAACAAAATGGCCGCCAGACAGCCATTTTGAATCCAATCTGAAAAATAAAATGACGTGCATCAGGAACCTGTATGTACCAAGTTTGAATGAAATCCATCCATAAATGCCAGAAATGCTTGATATTTGATGATTTTTCAGCACAAAAATGACCACCTAGCGGCCATTTTGAATTTTGATCGTCAAACCAATACATCTGTCTATCTATGACATGATGTATAATGAATATTTAAAATTTGAACATAATCGGTGAAAGCAAGTCAGAGATATGGCACGAGAACCACATTCATTAAAACAAAATGGCCACCAGTTGGCCATTTTGAATCTTATCTGAAAAACAAAATTATTTGCATCAAGGTTCCATAATGTCTAATTTATATACCAAGTTTGAACAAAATCCATCTGTAAACAGCAGAGAAATGCTTGATTTTGATGATTTTTAGCACAAAAATGGCCACCATTCGGCCATCTTGAATCAAATCGTGAAACAAATTGACGTGCATATGTATAATATCATGTATGATGTATGTGTGCAGGTTTGATTGTGATTGGTCCAGGCATTTCTATGATACAGGTCCAGACGCACGCACGAACGCACGCACACACGCACGCACACACGCACGGAGGTCAAAACATAAGTCCCTTGTTTTTGACTGCGTCGAATGGGGACTAAAAACAAGCAGCCTGTCAGCTGAGATAGCTCCACTGTTAGCATCATCACAAAATGAACAAATCTGGGAGAGGTCCACATGTAGTACCTATATAATTTATGTAATATCAAAGCAATCAGATTTGCGTTATTTTACCAAAAAGTCGAAAATATCACTTTTTACCAAAAATTTAAAAAATATTCACCAAAATTAGAGAATTAAAGATATCATCACAAAACGAACAATCTGAGATAGGTACACATGTAGTACCTATATATGTAATATCAAAGTAATCGGACTTGCAGTTTTCAATAAGAAGTCGAAAATATCACTTTTCACCAAAATTAGAGAATTAAAGATATCATCATTAAATGAACAAATCTGAGAGAAGTCCACATGTAGTACCTATATATGTAGTATCAAAGCAATCGGATCTGCGTTTTTTAACAAGAAGTCAAAAATATCACTTTTTACCAAAAATGACAAAAATATTCACCAAAATTAGAGAATTGAAGATATCATCACGAAATGAACAAAGAGAGGTCCACATGTAGTACCTATATATGTAATATCAAAGCAATCAGACTTGTGGTGTTCAACAAGAAGTCAAAAATATCACTTTTTACCAAAAATTACAAAAATAGAGAATTTGAGATTTTGACATGAAATGAACAAATCTGAGAAAGAAACATCCAAAGTACTTGCATATCAAATTTGAAAATATTCTTACTTGCGGTTTCGAAGAAGAAGTTGAAATTGTAAAGTTGACGATGGACGACGACAGACAATCAGTAATAAAAACTTTGAATAAAATTGATCCAGGCATGTCTGAAATGATGTCGGTTGGATGAACAGAATCTTTTCTGCTTCAGACTATGTCTGATTGGGACTAACAAGAACAGAGAGAGACCAATTCTTGAGGAGCAGGATATAAGGTATACTTACAACATTTGCCATGTTCACAAGTTCAGGTTTATGTTTCAAAAAAAGTTTCACAATCTCTGCATGGTCGTTCTCTGCTGCAAGATGCAATGGTGTCTGTCCATGCTGTGACACAATACATAAATCAACCATCTTAATAATTGGAACAATTTGTATTACAGGCTACAAATTTATGTAGTTATGGTAACCAAAAACATTGGCCTAAATAGCATAAATATGATCTGTATTCACCTCAAGGGTTGTCTATTTCATAATAGCTCATAATGATCACTGGTGAATTTAATGGTAAAACAATGTAAGCTATTTGGAGGGGAGTGGCACCCAAAACAAAACAATTTTTTCTTGTTTTTCAACAATTTATACCCTCTAATAGAATGATATAACACACATTTGTTAACTAAAATGTAATAATGTGTGCACAACAAGATTTTCATTTCATTTTAGGAAGTAAAATTTGTCGCTGTATTGATGTTTTTTGACAGTAAGGGCACACATGATTTGCTTGTGGACACATCTTTACATATATAGTTTAGGTTAATCCAATGCTATCATCAATAACGCAAGCACCATAGAATCCCAATTACATACTAAGTACAGGATATGAAACAAGCATAGAATAAAAGTGATGATAAATATACTTACGATATCCGTCAATTTGGACATCTGGTTGCCATAGTGATGAGAGCAAGATAAGATAGTAAAAGATAGAATGAGCAAAAGAAAATTATAGAATACAACTAAAGCATGAATTTTGGATTTTGGAAGCAAGAAAAAATCTTGGAAGAAATATCAATATTCTCACACAATCAGACAGTAATTTGGCCATTCATTTAGCACTAGAAATTGATTGAGAGAATATGACCTTATCCCCGGACAATAGACATACAGTACAGTTCTCGCGGAAGCTTTGGCTTCACTTCAGCTTCACCTTCGCTTCAGCATCGCATCATTATGGCATTGTTATGGCTTCAGCATCGCTTCAATGTCGCGACATTAAAAAGTTAGGCGATTATCGCTTCGCTTCATTGTGGCCTCATTATGGCGACAATGTGGCATCAGCATCGCTTCATCAAAGAAGTACTGTACTCATTTCCCCCAAACCTCTTGACCGCTTCCGCTTTTGACCGGTCAATTTCCGTTTTATTTTCGACCGTGCAAAAATTCGGACTACTAAAAATTTTCTGGTTTTCATAGATCACGGTTACTAGTTTAGTTTAGTAACCGTGCATAGATGTTGAACAACCGTCAAAAGTTCAAATACTTTTTGTTTTAAGTATCTATAATTATATGCACGCAACCTGACCCTTTGACCTAGATTTGGCTGGGATTGAATATTTTATTTTAGACAATATTCCGACGTGACGCACTGCTACAAAATGTATTCAACAGAAGTACAACATGGTTGTCTGGGTTTCTTTTCCTGATTGTGTTGAGTTTACGATTTGTATAATTATTGTTGTTTCCCCCCAAGCAGAAGACAAGCCGAAGGACCATGAAGCTAAATAAGAATTCCCACGCATGGACGTGGACTGAGTGA